TACAAGGGTTCCTTTTATTTGTTTTTGAGATTGACAGACAACATTTAGTGAAAAGATTTTCCATTGGCCTGGCCCAAAAAGGCGGGACATGTAGAAGCGGGGCTTGTAGGTTATAGGTGGGTTCCACAATTTCTAGGCTGGTGATTGGAAAGGAAGATCTGTGTCTTGGGAAGAGATTGGTTAAAAAAAGGCTTAATCTACATCTCAAGGAAAAGGGAAGTTCTGTGTCTTGGTAAGAGATAAGTAAAAGAATATACTGTAATCGGTTGAAATATACATCTCAAAGATACTATGCCAGGAACAGGAGGTAGGAAGAATCCTGTTAATAGAAAATAAATGGTCTGTTAATGTTTGTGGCATGACTTCCCCAGTCCCTTTTGAAAAGATTTTGGAAAATAGGAAAAATAGTCAGACTTCTGTCCACATTACTCTCCCTGGTAAATGAAAATAAAAAGAATACCATTTTGCCCATCAAAAGCAGCATTCGTCTTGAGTTAAAGAGCTCTGTGTTAGCTAGGAGACAGTGAAAGCTGCACCCTTTTACACTGGTGGTGGGCATGTGAGTGGGAACAGCTTTGCTCTAGAACAAGAGCCTCAATAAATAGTCACTCTCAGCTCATCTGGTAGTTCCACTCTCAGGACTTATCCTGAGGATAAGACATGTGGTCAGGAATGGATGTGAAGAGGCTAATAATTTCTATGTTATTTTTAATTTGACACAACCAAAAGGCTAACCCTGAGGGTAGCTCCATAGGATGGAATGATATGCAACCATTAAAAATTGTATCTTTAAAGAATATGCATGATATAGGGAAATTTTCAAAATATAATAAACAATTATCTCAACTTTATAAAAAGGGGAAAATGCACATTTAAGTTTTTTTTTTAAAAAATCCCACAGCTAGGAACTATACCAAGATGTTAGCATCAATCTCTCTGTAAGTAATGGGATTATGGATGATGTTTATATTTATGGTCTTTTTATTTATTCACTGGTATTCCGAGGGGGAGAAAGAAAGAGGTAGAGGGGGAAAAAAAGAAGAGAAAGGGAATGCAATATAAAACAGTCCTTTTTTTTTTTTTTTTAAGTGTTAATGAAGTATTCAGGTATAAAGAATTACAATTAATGTAAATGGGAATATTTCTTTTTTTAGAGAGAGAGAGATTTCGATTATAGGGCATGTGCGCTCACCAGAGAGACAGAGAGACAGAAGAAATCACATCCCCTCCCTGGTGGGCGGGAGAGAGCATCACACCGCAATCCTTTTTCCTCCATTCTCCTCTTGAGATCTTGAGCACACACGGACAGGTATTTTAAGCTACCAGGTCCAGGACTTGAACCGCAGTCAACTACATGGGAGTCCAGCAATGTAACCATAATGCCACCTGCTGGTCCCAAGAGAAATATTTAAGGCCTCCGCCAATATTTGTAGCTCTAGTGGACAACATAAATCAGGAAAGACAGACATGGAGTCAAGGCTGGAGTCACACATATACACTTGGGATGGGCATATTCTCTAAATAGCCTCTTTCAGCCCCAGGTTGATGTTGGACCTGCTTCTGGCTGAGCATTAATCATTCACATGCGTGTTGTTACCTACTGATTACCTATCCGAATGTTCAGTTCGACTCAACAGTTTTCTGACTACTGAGACAGTGAGTAAGACTCACCTTTGCCTGCTGTATGGATTGGGAAGTAGGTTAACTGACAACACAAGTCTACCTGGCATAATTTGGGATTTTGAAATGAATTCATTTTATATTCGGTTACCTGGAAGGTCATGATACATCTTTGCATAGAAAAACACATCATGACTTTGCCAATGTCCTAATACAACAATGTCAAACAGCGTATTCTGTTGTGCCTGGGCCGGCACAACGGCCAGCGCCGCATAAAAATCTGGGTGGGTGGTTTGCTGCAGTTAAGGCAAGTGGTGAGTGACAGGAAAGGCATCCTTGCTTCCCTTTACAACCTCATGGTGACTCTCTTAGCACTCAGTGTTAGGATAGCAATGTGAAATGAGTATCACATCTGGAAAAATCTGTGTAAAAGCCAGCTTTCACTCTGGGACTATGTTGTACATACATAAACACTAGCTCCTAGTGTGACACAGTTCCATTGGTGCATGCCAAAATGGACGGCCAACTATACAGATGAGAATCACTAAGTGTGAAGGCTGAAAGAATGCTGATGGTGTCCAAGGATTGAAGTGTTAAGAAAAGGAGAGTAGAGCTTTCCTTGAACTAGAGGTTCTCAAGCCTATGAAAGCTAAGTATCTCAGAACCAACAGATGCATAATGGTTACGTTGCTGGACTACCACGGAGTAGACCATAGTTCGAGTCCTGAATCCAGTGGCTTAAACTCACGCCAGGTGCATGTGCGTGTGTGCCCAAGATCCCAAAAGGAGAATGAAGGAGAAGGGATTGCAGTGTGGTCATCCCCCCTGGGGAAAGATTTCTCTCTTTCTGTCTCTCTGTTTCTCTCTGTCTTACCAGTGAGTGCATGAGCCCTAGAGCAAAAAACTCTCAAAAAACAAAAAATCAAAACTAAGTATCTAGAACCAGGGGACATGTATTTTAGAACTCCATAGGGCTTCCTAATGCAGCCTGTTGAAAGAGAACCTGAGAACTGCTCTAAGCTACACTGCGCAGCCACAGGATTCTGTTCTGTGTCCGCCCATTGGTATCCGCTAGCCATCTGTAGCTGTGGAGCTCTCAAAGTGAGGATAGTGTGACTGAAGAATTGCGTTTTTAAATTTTCATTCCTTACTAAATTTAAATAGCCACAGCTTGCTAGAGCAACCCTAACCTACTATATACTGTCCTTCCCTTGGAGAGGATACTAACTCATTTTCCAGCCCACCAGTTTAGTGGTTGGCTCCTTTCATCATTCTGATGCAGTGCTGTTCACATGGGGCTCCAGAGCCCCCTTCTAGGAGAATCACGGTGCCACTGAACCTTTAGTAGCCACACTCAGACACAGGACTTGGGTTTTTGTTTATTTTTTCCTGTTTTCAACTATTTAGTAAAACTCATACACAAGTCAAAATACTTTATTATCAAATCAGAATATCTGATTCGCGAAGCTTTCAGGTTATGTAAAAAGAATGTTCAGATGGAAACTGTCACAAATAGGACATTTTATTTGTCACTAGTACAATTCTGAACTTTCAACAGATTCTTGGATTGGTGGTTCATATCCATCAGCTCGTTCTACTTTGGCACCCATCTCATCCCCAGTAGCTTTTCCAGAGCTAGTTACTTCACCATGAGTCTCCATGAGTTTTCCCAATTGGAACTTGGGCTTCTTCAACAATTTTACTTTTCTGGCAAAGACATCATGGAGAGGGTAGATGGATTGGCAAGCCTTGTCTATGTCTTTTCCAGTGCTGTCTGGAATCAGTTTATTGACCACTTCTTTCAGGTCATTTGTCTACACCTCCCGGGTCATGATTTCCATCATCTTCTGGATTTGGCGGACCTGCAGATGCTGGGCAAAAGAGGTCTTTCTTATCTGATTCTTGCACTTTTTAGTAAACCAACAGAAGAGACGAAGCAAATTACCATCAGTAGTCTTGACATCGACATGAGCTTCAATCATGTTCTACCATTTTTTGACCATGGGACACATTTTGTCACGGGTGAGATCCATGCCATGAAAGTTAGTCAATTTCCTAAATGCGACTGACTTCGTTATTCTGCAGATCTGCAAGGCTCACTTCATACACACGGCCCTTAAGGCCGTCAGATGCAATTTTGGTTCCTTGAGTCCTGGTAACTAGTGTTTTCCCAATATTTTTTATGTTGAACATAGTAGGTGCTTTCACGTCATACCAATCTTCTTAAGAAAATGGATCAACCACTTTGTTCTTGGCTCCCCTTTTGCCGTCTTTTGTAAGGCGTTTATTCTTGCCAACCGCCATGGTGCTTGCTACTCAGAGAGCCAGAAAGCAGGACTTGGGTTTTATAATGTAACTTGTTCAGCGTAGTCTTTCATCATGCCCAGAACATAGAATGGTACTTCCTACAATCTTCATCACCCACAGAACAAAACCGAGGTCTCATTCTCAGCCAGGGTTTCTAAATCATTGGGTTTTGTTTGTTTGTGTTGGTTTTTTTTTTTTTTTTTTTGGTCATCATTTTATTTTTAACTAAGGCAATAATTTCTGATCTTCTCCCCTGTTGTTTAAAGGGTTTAAAGGTTCAGCATGGAGAGTTTTTATGGAGCTTTTATGGAAAGCTGAGTGTGGTGAACATACCCAAATGATCTCAGTACTGTCGTTTACCAAATCCTTTTCCTCTGCACAAATTTGACTTCCCTTCAAAATATGAAATGGCTGGTCCCAAGCAGAATTCTCCACGTATCCCAGACATTATTTTCAGGGTTACTCACATTCTGAACCTGGTGCGATGAGGTTAACTTTCGAATGGAAACAACAGTCCCCCACAAGACTGGGAGCTCGGTGGAGGCAGGCACTGCGTTTGTCTTGTCCTGGGCTCTGTTCCAGCCTCATGGTGTGACATCTGCCAGCTCCCAGGGGGCCCGTATGTGGGTGGAATGAGTTAATGTTCTTGCCATAGAGAAAGTGGGCTGGTGACAAGTAATGAAGAGAGAAGACGGGAGCCAGGAAAGGGCCATATTGTAGGCAAAGTGATTGGACTTAGGAGAAAGTGCTAACCCTCCACAAGTTTACTCTGCAGGTAAGAAGAACAGAGATCATAGCACCCAATAATCTACTCCTATCCTGGTGAAGGCGATTTGGCACCACGATGGTGATTACCTAGATTAGAGATCGTAGAGGGCTCTGCAACATTGAAATTGGAATCAGAAGAGAGTGGCCTAATATCAGCTTTTAATAATTCAAATGCTTTTGTGTGTGGCCTCTTTGTTTTTCATCTTAAGTTTCAGTTCCAGGAGACTTAGCAAGCTAGACTGCCTATGTTTTGGGGGGATGTATCTTCCTACTTATCGGCATTTTTTATTTTCTTGAAATTTTAGGCACAGAAAAATGAGAGAGAATCTATCAGACAGAAGTTGGCACTTGGAAGCTTCTTTGATGACGGCCCAGGAATTTATACCAGCTGTAGCAAAAGTGGGAAGCCAAGCCTCTCCTCCCGGTGAGTGTTCTTTGACTTGGGTTTCTGCTATACACCTAATGGATTTTGTCACCTGACTGTGTGTCTCCTAAAAGATAGCTTTTAAATCCTCGAGTGGTTTTATTTTCCATACTATTACTGCCTGTCTTGGGGTTTTAGACAGCCCTTTCCCTAGCAGTTTATGGGCTTATTTGTTGTCGTTGCTGTTTCGGGCACATTGCCCAGCTACTTGAGGTCAGAGTTTTCATATTTGGGTTTTTTTTCTAGACACAATACTGATTTTGCACGCAGATAGGGGAATCAAGCCACACTTCTAAGCAAGCTGACTGATGATTAGAGACATGTGGCAGTCCACCAGATTTCCCATTAAGCAGTCCCAGAGTACCCACAATCACCCTCCTGGTACAGTTGATTGCAATGAATACTGGTAACTGAGAAATACAATTCCCACTTTGATCATTCAGTGTTTATTACAGTTCTTAACCTGCCCTCCAAGTAGTTTTTCTTTATCTTAATTTATTTTAGGATAGCATTACTCATTTACCATAATATTTTTCTGGATATTACTGGTCATTTGCATAGCTTCTAATTCCAAGTAAAATATGTTTAAATTATAATTTGACCTAGAAAACAGGGATATAGATCAGCGCTTCTCAAACATTGAAGTCTGCGGATTTTGTTAAAAATGAAGATTGTGATTCAGTATGTCTGAGAGGCTCTCTGTGATGTCCATGCCGCCTCTCCTTGGTCTACTTGGATGAGTGAAGGTCTAGACAAGCTGCAGGCCTGTTAGGAATACAAGTAGTCGAGTGATGAACATGGAGCATTGTTTTTATGAAGATGATAGTAACTGAGTTCCCATCAGCATTCTCTGATCCTCTCCCTCCTCCTATACCCTCCAAATGTCTGTTTTCTCTGTTTTCCTTTGAGCTAAGAGCAAATGCACCCTCATAAAACTACATATATTGGGGCCAGCAGGTGGCATAATGGTTGAGGCACTAGACTCCCACATGGTCAACTGCAGTTCAAGTCTCAGACCCAGAAGTTTGAAATTCGTGTCAAGCAAGTGCATGCATACCCAAAGTCCCAAGAGGAGAAGGGATTACGGTGTGGCAGCAAGTGCGTGCATACCCAAAGTCCCAAGACAAGAAGGGATTATGGTGTGGCCATCCCCCTAGGGGGTTATTTCTTACTTTCTCTCTCTGTCTCTCTCTGTGTCAATGGCGACTGCATGTGCCCTGTAGCAAAAAGCTAAGTGTTTTTACTGTGTAAAGTCAGGAGTTGGTAACAAATGATAGTATTTGTGCCTTAAATCAACAAGTTTCTCTGCTTTGTGTGAGCCCAAAGCATTTGATCTGGTTTTCAATCTGATCTTTAAAGACTTATCTAAATTAGCAAAATACAGAAAGCAGACACACTGTCACAGAGATGGGTATTTTCCAGACTCTGCAGGTGGGGTTGCACGTGGAGAGAAGAGCTGGTCTGACCCTGCGGTGTTACCGCATCTCTTCCGCAGCTAGGTACCAGTGCCATCTCCTAAGACCCCCTTGCTGTTTCCACGTGTCATTCCAGGTTTGGAGGGTCAGCCTTTCCCTTCTCCTCGAAAGTGTGTCTTTCTTCTCGCAGTGGGGTGTGGCAGAAAGAGCTCTGGCCCAGGGACCTGGAGACCTGAGGATTAATCCTAGGCCACTTCTAATTTTGAGACTTTACCCATTAGTCATACCATGCTTTATTTTCTTCATTTTTTTAAAAATGAGATGAGGGGATTATACCGTGTAGTCTTATAGTACTCCCTCTCCATTATAGCTTTTTTATGTTCTCCAAAGCGCCAAAAAGTCTTCCTCTAGAAACTTCATCTCTCTGTTCAGTAATTTAATTTCATATCGGCTCTAAGGAGGATGTTTCTGATTTTAAAAACTCAAGATCTATATGTATACATACATACATATATGTGTATATATACATACATACACACCCTTATACAATATATATCCTTGTCCTACTCTTAAGAAGCAATACTTTTGCCTCCTAGGTTGTTTCTTCTGGTATTTACCAACATATTTCCAACTGTTTATTTTCTGAGTTTTTACTTTAAATAACCATCTGACTACCTACTATAAAAAATTTGTATTTAGCTCTTTTTTTTTTTTATTTTGAGGCTTTTGCTATAGGGCGCATGCGTTCGCCAGACAGACAGAGACAGAGAGACAGAAAGCGAGAAATCACCCCCCCCCAGGGGGAATGGCCATGCTGCAATCCCTTCTCCATTCTCCTCTCGGGATCTTGGGCACGCACGCACACACGCTCAGTGTGAGTTTAAGCCACCGGGTCCAGGACTGGAACCACAGTCAACTACATGGGAGTCCAGCGACATAGCCATTATGCTAACTGCTGGTCCTGTATTAAGCTCTTTTTTTATAGCCCTCTTACAGACATATCTATGTAACATGCCTGTCATCCTCCCCATATAGTTATTTCACAATTTAGGGTCAAATAACTATTACATGTTTATATTGTTAAGATCATAGATTCTTCTCACTGAGCTGTGTAGTAAACTATGATTACTTGAGACATGTTATTGTTTACTTTGAAATTAGTATTGCCTTCTTTTTTCTTTTGCCAGTCCCTGAGTGGGACTGCTGTGACAGCCTACTATGTGAGGAAACCACAGCTCACTTGGCCACTCGGCTGATGATGGGCATTGGGTTGTTTGAAAGTTTTGCTCTTGTAAACAAAGCTGCTTATAAACATTCATGGCTGTGTCCCAGCTTCCATGTACTCGCCATGTACTTCCCTGCTACTCTCTGGTATATTACTAGGAGTAGGATTACTAGAAAAACACATCAACCTCACACTGAGAATGTAAGGCTAAGGCCAAACTTTTCCAACATGATTGCAACAAGTGACACTTCCATCAGCAATGTCTCAGGGATCTTATGGATTTATAACCTTTCTAGCATTTGCTGTTACCAATTTCTTTTGAATTGTTCTTAATAGAATAGGTATAAATAGTACTCCGTTCCATTTCTTAGCCATAATTTTTTCTTCTTCTGTAAAATGTCTGTTTGGGTTGTATGTCCAAATTTCCGTTGGATTATTTGTGCTTTTCTTATCGATTTATCAAAGATTTTTGGGTATGATACTAATTCTTAATACATTGTATGTATTGCAAATATCTTTTCCCAGGTTGTTAAGTTGTTTTCCACTTCCTCGGATGTTTTATGATACATTCTGAATTTTAACAGATAATTTTATCAAACTTTTCTGAATTTCTAGTCAATGCCTTCTGTATTTTACGTGAGAATTTTTTTTTTTTTTGGGGGGGAGGCTTTTGCTATAGAGTGCGCGCGCTCGCCAGAAAGACAGAGACAGAGAGACAGAAAGCGAGAAATCACCCCCCAGGGGGGATGGCCACACCACAATCCTTTCTCCTCCATTCTCCTCTCGGGATCTTGGGCACACATACACACACGCCCCATGTGCGTTTAAGCATGATCAACTACATGGGAGTCCAGCAATGTAACCATTATGCCATCTGCAGGTCCTATGAAATCTTATACTATCCCCGAAACCAGTAGACATTTACTGGATTTCCTTACCAGGAGTTGAAACTGTTCATATTTTTAAAGTCTTTAACTAATCAAGAGTTGACTTCTTGATATGGTTTGAACATTTCTAATAAGGTATTTTTAATTTTCCATTTAAAGATATTACACATCTTTTATTGCACAGATATTCCTCAGCTTACGATGACTCAGCTTAGATTTTTTGACTTTATGACGGTGTCAAAGTGATACACATCAGTACCATGTTTTGAATTTTGATCTTTTCCTAGACTAGCAATGTGTGGAATGACACACTTAGGAAGCTGGGTGGTGGCACATAGCCATTCTACTTCTTATTTTTAGAATAGTATTTAGTAAATTACATGAACTATTCAATACTTTATTATAAAATAGGCTTTGTGTTTGATGACTCTACCCAAGTATAGGCTAATGTAAGTGTTCTGAGCATGTTTAAAGAAGTCTAGGTTGGTACCAGCAGTTAGCGTAATGTCTATGTCGCTGGACTCCCATGTAGTCGACCGCAGTTCGAGTCCCAGACCTGGTGGCTTAAACTCACACCGGGCACGTGTGCATGCATGCCCAAGGCTCCAAGAGGAGAATGGAGGAGAAGGGATTGTGGCATGGCCATCCCCCTGGTGGGTGATTTCTCACTTTCTGTCTCTCTGTCTCTGTCTTTCTGGTGAGCACATTCGCCCTATAGCCAAAATCTCTCCAAAAAAAGAAAAAAAAAAGAAGTCTAGGTTAAGCTGTGAAATTTGGTAGGTGAGGTATATTAAATTCATTTATTGTATTGTCACCATGTGATGGGTTATTGGAATGTAACCCCATCATAAGTCAAGGAGCGTCTGTATTTATTTCTAGTTACTTAAGATTCTGGTATTCCAAATTCTCTTAAATAATGCTTTCTTGCTTGCTGCTGGTCAACAGAAGTGAAACTAACTTTGGTTACTAATCTTCTATGAAGCCACTTTGTTACTGCTTTTATTATTTCTTTACTCTCCCATTTCTAAGAAGGTTGTTTATAGATTCTCTGAGATTTTTAAAAAATTGTATCACCTGCAAATAATGGAAGTTTTATTTCTTCCTAATTCTCATCCCTCTGGTCACTTTCTTTGTCTTATTGCATTGGGTAGTTACCCTAATACAATGAGAATTAGAAATGATCATTGTTGGGTGGTCGGTAGTTGGTGTGGTAGTTAAGGGTGTTGGACTCCTACATGGCCAACTGTGGTTCAAGTCCCAGACCTGGCAGCTTGCTTTCTCGTTTCCCTCCTACACTCTCTCTGGTCAAATTAAAACTAATAAATAAATAAATTTTTTTTTTTTTTGGGGGGGAGGCTTTTGCTATAGAGTGCGCGCGCTCGCCAGAAAGACAGAGACAGAGAGACAGAAAGCGAGAAATCACCCCCCAGGGGGGATGGCCACACCACAATCCTTTCTCCTCCATTCTCCTCT